GAAGAGGGATTTTTTGGTGAAAACATCTATTGAAAAATTAGTTTATTTTCATCGGACTTACAAATTTTAAACGTTCGCGCGTAGTGAGTAAAACTTTATTACAAATAGGGGTTGTATTATCTCATTTTTTTTCAATATTTCTGTTTCCTTTAATCTCAGAGAAAATATTAGCTGAGAAAAAAACAAAATTGCCTGAATATTATTGGGGACTTTCAAGGGAAGATCTTACTGTCTATAAACTTTTTATTTTCACTCTGTATAGGGGACGGACGTTAACAAGGTCTGACTTGCCCAGTTTTTTCGGGACATATAACCTCGTTTTTTCTTAAATTTTGTAAACCTTTACTTTTTGTAAAATTGTGTGTTTCTGACAGATGGAAATTGTCGATGTTTTTCCCCAGAATTATCTATTAATAATATCTGTTCTGCAAGGATGGACTCTCATTTTTTACGGTTTTTAGGCATTGTATTGTATTTTGTTTTGTATGTAAGTAAAGGGTTATCCGACTAATGGTAATTTTTGTCGCGTTTGTTATGTAGTGGATACAATCTTGATATGATTTTAAGAGGCTTGCCATTAAATATATTGCGGATCTTGAGATTTTGTTATTGAGACATACTTAATATAAATTTGTAATTTATGAAGATTTTAAAAATAGATAGCCAGTAAAATTAGTGGGAATTTGCTATAATATGTATTTGATAAATCTTCAAAACACCGTGCTTTTTTATTTTATAGCGACAGGGATTTTATAATTTTATCATTGTCAAATTATTGAAGTGAACAAAACATTGAAATTGGGGTTGAAGTATAAAGAAATAAAATAGATAATGTTATAAACATAACTTTTAAAAAGGAAAAAAATGAAAATTGAAAAAGAATTCTGAAAAATTTTATGGGTTAAACGGAAAAGGGAAAATGATAATTTTAAAGGAAAAGGACAAAGTTGACAGAGGAAAAGCATGTGCAAAAGGGGTGATAAGGTCCAGAAATGTACAACACGGATATTTATTGTGATTTTACTAGCATATATGTTTTCTGTTTACTTTCTTACTACAATCCCAGGAAAACACAAAAAACGCCGTCGAGATATAAATTAAACGGAAAGAAAAGAAAGGTTGGTAAAACATTAATTTTTTACAATAACCTTACATGACAGGAAATAAAAAGTTACACTTTATTATTTTCTTTTTTTTTAATTTAACATTCGAACTTTTGTTTTTTTATTTTCAGGGATTAAATTAAAAAAAAATGTTGTGCATGTGTATGGGATGTTACCTTTTAAATTTTAGGGTTTTTATATTAAGATACAAAATGAAAATTTTTTAAAAAGGGTAAAATTACAAAAAAAGAATTTGGAAAAAGGGAGCACTTTTTTGTATTTTATATAACTGTTTTACCGCAAATGAAAAGTGAGTTAAAAAATGTCAGTATATAAAATTTGTTTTTTTTTTGGAAAAAAATTTTTTAGCCAAATTTGGGGTTTAAAAAAACCCTTCGTTTTTAGTTTAATTTGGTTTTTGCCACGCATTGGGGGAAAAATGGTTAGTAAAATTCTTACTCTTAGATGTTAATGACCCAAAAACATTTTGTCAATTGTGGCGGGAAAAACCCTTTATCAATTTTTGGGCCCGAAATGCTATTTTTCAAAACCCTGTCTTTATCCCTTCTTATGCAAACCCCAAGGTAGGCATTTTTTTAAACGCACCCCTCCTTTTTCCTGTTTTCCAAATTTCCGTTTTGTCCTCCGTCCCTTTCCCCTCCCAGGAAAAAGTTTTTAAATTTTGTACTAGAGGGACAATTTGGTAATTTTTTTTTTTTTCTATTTGATGTCATTCAATTCCGAAAAGCTTTTTATGTGGCTATTTCCCTTTTGTGTGGCTAAAAAGGGAAAAATTAGAGAGAAAAATAGAGTTAGCCCATAAAATTTCTGTCCGTTTTTGTTTCGTTCCCCCCTTCATTTTGTGGAAAACCGGGGCTGTTTAAAAAATTTTATACATTGGAGGGATTTTAGAAAAAACTTTGGGACAAAAAGGGCCCAAATTTTAACCAAAATTTCCAAATTTAAAATCTCCCTGACAATTGTTTTTAAAATAAAACATTGGGGGGAAAAAAAGATTTTTTTATTTTTGGGGTACGTATTTTAAAAAAAATGAAAAAACAAAATTTAAATAGTGGTTTTTTCCCGTCAGAGTAAATTAAAATCTACAAAATTTTAAAAAGGGGGGGAAATTTTGAAATAACCTTTAAAAAACCTGGCTCTCTGTACGTTACTTTTTTTTAATAAATTTATTTCAAAATGAATAATAAGGGGTTTTTCCCAAATCAGAGTAACTTTAAAATCTACCCTTATTTTAAAAGGGGAGGAATTTTAAAGATTTTCTTAAAAAAAAACCTTGGGCTCTTTTGTTTCGTTACTTTAAAAAAATGGGTACAAAATGATATAGTGTTTTCCCCGTCAGAGTACTTTTAAAATCTACATAATTTTAAAAAAGGGGGGAATTTTAAAAGAACAAAAAAAAACCCCGGGCTCTCAAAAACACAAAAAAAGCTGAACAAAAAATTTTTCATTTATCGGAAACTTAAAAAGGGTATGTAAAAATAAAATATATATATATAAAAATTTTATATTTTGTATAACTTTAAAAATTTTTAATTTTATACGTAACAAGCTGAAACTAAAATTAAAAATTCCCGAATTTGTTTTTAAGGGTTTAAAAAACAGATTAAAGGTTTAAAATCATAATTGTAAGGGAGAAAAATTTCATGAATAAACGCCCCGGATGTTAAAAATTGGATGTTATTTTTTTTTCCCCGCAATGGAAAAAGGATACATATATTAAATACATGACTCCTTATATCTAACGTTATAGTTGAAAGGTATTTACGTATGTTTTCCAATGCATTTATTTGATTAGTGACAGTCATATTCGTTTACAATTACTGTGTTATATACTTAGCATATAGATAGACTATTAACGACCACCTCGTTGTCTGTTTTGTTGTCACGTGACTCCCGGTAATTCTTTTCATGAATGAAATAAGTTATTTTTATATTACATCTGGCATATTTGATAAATAATGCGAATAAGCGTTATCCATTTAGATTACCCCTAAGGTGTATTTAAGAAAAGAGTGATAGTTTGGTACTTATCAATAATATATATATTTCATACATCAATATATATTTCAGAAATCGTACATATAAACAACAAATAATGCAAATAATTACCCAAATACAACTAAATTGTGCCTGACAAAATTTCCATCACATAATTTCATCTTACTCGGTCGGAAACATACAATTACCACACATCAAGTTATGGTCAGTGTTTAGCTATAAACAGTTTCAAGTCAAGAATAGACCCCTATCAATCATGCAGCGGTCAGACAAATTATTAGAGAGGCGATATAAGACAGTTCTGATCCTCTTCGTTATGGTGATTATCACAGCATTACGCCACATTATCATCCTTGTGTCTAGACAGGGAGCCTATCTTACTAATCACATAGTTGTTTGCATTCAATTCCCTACAGACGTCCCTTCGTTATCGTAAAGGGTTACCAGGATACAGTCCGTTGTATTTTTTTATAGATAACGCTGATTGGATTCTATTTTCCTCTTATTACCAGGAATAGTCCGTAAAATATATAGACACATTGATACATTTAGTTACTACTATTGTATCTAATACGTAAGAATTGAAATAAAAAAACCGTTCTAGAATGCCAATCCCGAACACAAAAAAGTATAAAATAAGAAATAATTACTGTAATATTTCTACAGTATAAAACTTGAAACTTGAAACTTTTTTATTTTTTTATTTTTCAAGTTTTACAGTATAAAAACCTACTGGTTCTTGTCATTTTATTCTTTTGCGTTTAAAAAATAGAATTAGAATTCCTGAAAACATATTTGTTTTTACAAAAGTGAAGGACATTACAAAAAATATGGTTCTTAAAAAGTACAGATCGTTCATCTTTTTATAATCAAAGTTAAGGTGTCTAAAGAAAGGCAGAAAACTGTCTTTTATCCAAGAAAGCAATGCTCCTTTTAATATAAAGGTAAAACAAGTTAAAAATCAGTGTCAGTCATCTGATAATAAGATTTTAATGATAGTACGATATTAAACTGTATAAACGATATGTTTTCAAAATGGTATATTGAAGGAACATTATGATAAATGCGAAACATATATAATTTTGCAACGTGTCAACTGTTCAATGCACCTCAAAATTTGGCTTATAACTGCTGGATCTTTAGGTATAGGCGGTCGGCCTTAAGTGTGATATTTCAAAGACTTTATACATTTGCTTATTTATTTTCAGTTTGCTATGCTCATCAGAGTCCACAATTTGACGCACTATTTTGAACGGCCAGGAATCACTGTGTTTGTCCCAGTGTCATCCGTCTACGAAAGATTTCTTGACGATGCCTATAAATATGGATACAACACATCGGACCCGACGACCATGAAGAACATGTTACTTTATCATATAGGTAATACATAGTTATGAATTATTTAATATCATAATACGCCATGAAATTGACGTATTTAGTTTTGTGTAGCAGTCAGTAAAGCATTATTATTAATTGTCGGTGATAAAAAATAGTCCCTTGCCCTTAGACACTAAGCATGGAGGGAAACCTATAGTCTTTTTAAACTTAGACCAGCTTATCTGGAAATTTACCATATGACTTCATCGGCGTCAGTGTGTCTTATACCGTTATAGAAATGACAAGCAAACTTTTTAACGATGTTGTGCTGTCAACGTTCAAAGTACATCGCTTCCTTTGAAATTGCCATTAGCCCAATTAACCCCAATGGTACTTTTTCTGCTGCAGTAACACTGACATTTTGCCTATTTCATCACAAATGATATGAAACGATTTATGAATGAGATATCATTTCCCATTAGAGACTATTTTTTCCTGTTAGCATATATAAATTACCATTTAAGGTTATGTACTTATATTCCTTCTCAGTCATTCGTGAACAGCAATAAACAAGTACAGCTACCTCAAACGTATTCGGTGAAAATATATACAGCCAAATTTCGAACTTGGAGGGTCTGTGCAAATTTGTTTGCAAATTAGTTCGAGAGATCGGTAGTTCGAGCCAACCGAGGTTGAACTTTTATTGTGCATTATATATCATATTTTGCGTAAGACATAGGCCTATGTAGATAATGCATTCTAGAATATATATATGTTTCCACTTCAACCGATTTCATTTTGTTACAGTCTGTAGAACATCATGTTAAGGGAGATATATAATGCATTCTAGAATAGTTTAACAATATCTACTGTCGTTTGTACAGATAGCCTTAATAGTTTAGGAGAGATAGCAAATGAATATTTTCAACTAACCTCTTTAATTTTAATTTTGTTACCACCTGATCTGTCGATTTCACATTATTAAACAACTTAAAGAACTATATTGTTATACAACGTACATAGTATACTGATAGCATACTGATTTACACTATTCAACATCATCCGGTGTTAAGAAAAGTGTCTGTATCTGTTAAGTTCGAGTCTTGGGGTTGGACGCTGAGATGGTCGATTAATAGTGTCTTTATTCCTCATAATCTTACGTTTGGATGAATGGTCTTAAAGACATGATATAAAAAATAAACAAAAAGATAAAGATTTTTAAAATAAACGAGTAAATAACTTTTAAGTGTTAATTTAAGACATTAAATGAATTATTTCCATATTCGTACTGAGCAATATATACATGTAAACAATATGTCTGCTAGTTTCCTTTCTTTCGTATAGTTTTATTTTAATTTTTAATGTTTAATTAATTATACGTTACTATTTCCATTCACTAACGTGTGATATATTGTCGAAACTCATTTCAACTTTAACAATGGAAACAAATATTAATTATGTGACAATTAAATATTTCAAATATGATTTGTAACTACTTTATTAACAGATGATTATCAGCTTAGACTTTCTGAATTTAAACTAGTAACATCGTTTGTCATATCAGAGGCATTTATCTTAATAATACCTCAGACATTTGCAGTCGATCGTTAGTGCAATTAAGTTGGTACTGATAATATATTCCCCATCTTTATGTAAATTCTAAATACGATGTTAACCATTTCAGATCGATACATAATTGCTTTTGATAAAATTAGTCTGTCGATAAATATTTCAGTTTGTTTTTAATTTGACCAGTTTTATTGAAATGAAAGAAGTTATTGTAGTAACTAGACATTTTAAACCAAACAGCATGCCTCTTTTTTATAATGATAGAAAACTTTTTCTTATATGCATATCAGATTGGATTTTTATATTTGTACCAGTGCTAAACCAATGTAATCTTGCACCTAATATGTATGGCTTTAAAGTTGCATGCCTCCAGATGAGCCAAATTATTTCATTCTTGAGAAAATGTTTCAAGAAAAGTAAAAGGATTCACAAACTTCAAGTTATAATTTACATGAATTGCTATTTAGGACTGATTTTGCAGTATTCATCGCCATTTACCGCGATAATCTCAGAATTCTGACTAAAGCGAGCTTTTAAAGTGGATCGAGTATACAAACGCGCGGATAGAAATTACTATTTTCAGTTTGTAACTTTATTCAATATATCTGAAATACTAGGTTAAAAACATGATGTTTTTTTGTATTCTGAAGTGGTTTCTTTTTCTGTTACAGCATATATTTCGCTAACTTATCCCAAAAGAACACATATATTGAGATTCAATTATAAATTTAAAGTACTTCTAATTGAAGATGTTTCTCCAACATTTCTTTCCTTAAACAACATTAAATTGTAATTAAGAACTTCTTTATATTACATTAATATGTTTTTTTCAAAAAACAGACATTGTGTTGTATTCATTTTCGTATATTGCATATCACTTAATATCAAGAAAATGTTTTTAAGATTTAATATTCATTTATGAATATAACTAACCTAAATTGACGCTAATTTACTGTGAATCTGTACGCAATGTTATTAAATATGTAAAATTTATGAGAAGAATATCTATTTAATTTTTTCCTCTAGTGTTGTTTTTGATTTACTTTGTTAAAAACCAATAAAATATCAAATTTGTATGAAATTGATCAACTACAAATAATTGTGCGATGCAGACGAGCCGGGTGTTTTAATTTCCTTCCAGAGTTGTAAATTGTTCGTAATATGTGCGTTAAATGGCACGTTCGGCGTATTAATTCCATGCTAACCGATCTACTTTGTTGCGTTTTCGTTATAATTAACCAAATTTATACAATTCTAAATGGAAATACAGTATCATTACAAGGGAATACATTAGAGACGTCAAAAAACATATTTCAATTATTTTCGCATTATTTTCTCTTTTTATGCCCAGACACGGAAATTGACTAGCATCTTGTTAGGCGAAGAATATTTAGATGTATTTTAGATATATTTTAACCAAACATATATCTGTTTAGCTAAGAAAAATAAGTTAAAAGTAAAGCAATAATGGTAATCATCGAAATATTTAAACAATTTTCTCAGTTAATCTTGAAGGTATATAAGAACAGAACAGAACAGAAAATTTATTAAGACACAGTGCATCATCTACAATACATTATATTCACATATATTTAAATGCTGCATGAAAATTAAAAAAAAATCTGGATATCACATTTTACGTATACAATAGTTTCATGACAATAAACAAACAAACATGTAGTTATGAAAACTTGTGTATTTACTGTATACTTTTATAAATCGATAAGATTAATTATGATATTTTTGGAATCAAAACAAACCATTATAAGGACTGTGCATATTTATATCCCCTGACGTTGGTATTTGGAACGTTTTAGGTATGAGTGGATGAGAAGTTATGGGAATTTCAAAGCTAAGAAACCCTTTCCTGTAAGCTGATTTTTTTTAAGCTGCATACTTTTTTTTTCAGAGAAAACACGATTGATGACATGATTGAAACCAATAAGTAACGATCACCGTTATTCATGTATATTCATTGGAAAATGAACACAATTCGAAAATTTGTTTTGATTTGTCTCCATGAAGATTAAAACTTTGATTGTTATATTTGATACAGGTGACGGCATGACAAGTGCATCAGAAATGGAAAAATTTGAATCAACACGTACGTTACATCCTGACCATAGACGAGTTTTCTTCAACAATTTTAACTACGGTGACACAAAGGTATGACTCAATATTAGCAAATGATTTGTGTATATTGATATGATTATCTTAATCTTTTTATGCATGTATGAATGAATATACGAGAGATGATAAAAACATTAAACCCAGAATTAAAACATAAATATCTTATAATAATCATATACGGTGCACTATGAACGTTGTCACGTCATAAGCAGTGACGTCAAATGCACACTATTGTCTACATTATATTCTTTTAAAATTATTTGTCGCTGTACGCAATGAAAGGTCAATGTCTTATAATCCAAACGGGTTCTATACCAAGCTCCAGAAAATGTTGGACATGATCCATTTTGTGTCACACGCTTTGGTGTATTATAAAATTTCAACATGGGCTACACCGCTATGGCGTTTTCATGGTTATTTAAGGCGGCCTGATGTGGCACTGGATTCCATTAAATCTTTCTGTTTTCAATTAAATTGATGAAACATCAACCTTTACGCACGTATATATATAACACTTATGAAGACAACATGAAATTTATCAGAATTGAAAACAAATTCCTGGTAATTCTGGATCAACTCTCGCATACACGAATGGAGGAAAAACAAGAGCTTGACATATTAGCAATTATATTTGAACAGAAGGCACTTGTTTATCAAGTTTAATACCAGATAGAAAGTGTTTGGTATCAGCTTACTTGTCCACTTGTAATGTTATCTTAATGTTATACCAAACTTCAATGTTGTATCCACTACATATAAGAAGATTTACTAGTGCTTCATGTCACTTTTCAAACGATACCGCCTTGTTTACATATTACCCTTCAACGATGTAAATATTTATAACTTAACAGATTTCAAGCTTTCTAAAATGCCCAAACAAGTAGCAATTAAAGTATTATTTGATTAGGGTTAACCTCACGATGTTTTAAACCATACATTATATGCGAAACAAATTAGTGTATTTGTGTTGTTATGCGTATTTCACAATCAAAATTTTGCTTGAATGATATGCTCTGTACATTCCCGAAAAGAAACATTAAAACTTAATTTAATTAATTATAAAAGTATAAATTGTAAAGAAGATCAGGAACATAAAGATTAGATGTCTGTTTATGTAATTTCAAAAATCCTGCTTACTAATATAGCACCTACATGTATTTCGACTACTTTTTTGATGGTTAGACCTTTGCAAAAATATACTGCATCATTGATTTGAAATTGCGCTTTATCAGAAATGTCTATCATTGATCGGCATGTCAGCCGGAAATATTAATCAATGCTAATACACAAGATTGTATTTTAGCTTAACTTTTTAAAGAATATGTGTGCAAGCCGGTATCTCCAAAACTACTTCAGGAAATTCATCAACTGGGTTGAAACTTCACACACTTATTTAAGAGCATAATAGTGTCCAAGGTTCATAACTATCATGAATTTTGACAGAATTATGAACCTTTTTGTACTTTCGTTGTCGAGGGGTTAGAGTCGATGACTTCTGATCCAGTTACCTCTCTGGCGTGGGTTCGATCCCCGGGAGATGCTTTGGTAGTTTAGCACAAAGGAAGGTAGTCTAGTACTGTGTAACTCTCCAGGAACGATGGTTAGGAAACTACCCGCCTATATGACTGAAATACTTTTGGGAAAAGGCGTATAATTAAACAAACAAACAAACAAAACTTAGAAAAAATCTACATTATTTACACTAATTAGTTGCTATCAAGCACCGAGAATAGTCGAGCAAACTGTCCTACCGCCAGCTCTTGTTATACTTTGACATTTATACAGTTTGGTATTACTGTTTACATTTTTTCAGGTATTCACTGTCAATGGAGCATGGGTTATTGGGTCTGACATCCTAGCAAGTAATGGAGTGGTTCATGTAATAGACAGATTCCTTATTCCCATTCAGTCGAACAAAACAGTGGCGGAATACCTAGAACGACCTGATCTTCCACGCTATGCTTTCCAGTAAGAACTTAATTGGTTTCTTTTAGAAGTATTGTAAACAGAACTTGTGTAAGGTGTTTTAGTTAAAGGTGGTAAATCCACATTACGATTTGACCAGTGATAGTTTCCCGTTACATTATGTCTTGTAACTGGGTATATGTGCTGACACTTGCTTTGCCTCTGTGTCCCGTTTTGTTATTTGTCGAGAATGGTTGGTAACTCCTTTACCTTTCCCCTAAATGTCCACCCCTCCCTAGTCCACTGTTCACTCCATGGCCCCTACACCTTTACCTTTATCATTTTTCAATTAATCATTTACCTACGCTTATGCTTAATTGCCTTTTCTTTTCCCTGAATTTCTTTTCACTCGCCCTTTCCTATTTTGTTGCCTTAAACCTTTCTTCCTGCAATTCCCCATTTATTAATCAATTACCATTGTTTATATTTTTTCCTATGATTTTTCTTTTTAAATCGTTAATCATTTATTTTTATTAGTACGTTACCTCAATGTTCCGCCCTAGTGATTAATTGTACAGTGTTCCGCTGGGTACCTTACTTGTGAAGCTGGGCATTGTTCGGACTGCTTTTGGTGAATGTATCTCTCCGTTTTGATTATTCCGTTCATATCTGTTGTATATACCGATTACATTGGTACATTGTGTCACTTTCATATTGATCGATATGCATTTAGCTCTACAAATGTACAGATTCCTTAAATTTGTAAGTTAAGATTATAAGGTTTAAAATTCTGCCCAACACCAAAGCCCCATAATAGAATTCAACTGAAACAAGATGTTTTTGAATTTACAAGAAAACTCAGATTGAATGGATATTTTGCAGCAAAAGAGGAAAATAGTGAGGGAAATGAAAACAATAGTACCAATAATTATGACATTAACAGTAAGAAGAAAAACAACTCTACTTTTATTCCCCCTTCTGGCAGATATTCCAATCTTGATTTTTATATTGAAGCAATAACAAATGAAATTCTGTCAAACAGTAAACACAAAAAGTTATAAAACAAATTTATCACCAGAAGAGTTAAAAGCCTTGCAAAGCCTACAAAAAGATGAAAATATCATTATAAAAAAAGCTGATAGAAGTTCGGTTATTGTTGTTATGAACCGTACTGACTACATTAGAGAAGTTCACCGACAGCTTGAAAACGACCAATATTATAAGAAACTTGAAAATAATCCAACTGAACAATTTAAAAAAGAAATCTATGAGGAAAATTTATCAAATGGATAATATAAGTTACTCTATTAAAGAATCTTTGGTTCCTGATAGTGACAATAGAGTTCCAGCTTTTTATATTTTACCTAAAATCCATAAACAATTCAATTCTGATCTACCACTCGGTTACCCTGGAAGACCAATAGTATCTGGATGCGGTTTTCATTAACTGAAAACATATCATCGTATGTCGATAATATACTCAAACCACACATGGAATCATTACCCTCATATGTCAAGGATACTACAGATTTTATCAGAAAAATAACAAAACATAACAAATAGTTCAACAAAATCATTCTTAGTAACAATGGATGTATCATCTTTATATAGTAATATACCGCATAATGATGGAATCAAAGCATGTCAGTATTACCTTAATCAGAGAACAGGACAACAACATTCAGTTAAAGACATTTTACATCTTATTGAAATAGTGCTTACAAAAAACAACTTCCAGTTTGGTGATGATAACTATATACAAAATTTAGGAACAGCTATGGGAACTAAAATGGCACCATCTTATGCTTCATTATTTATGGGAAAAATTTGAAATGGACTTTTTAAATACATGTGAAAGAAAACCCTCAATATGGCTGCGATTTCTTGATGATATTTTTTTCATTTGGGACCATAGTGAAGAGGAGCTTATTACATTTTTTAATGAAATTAACAACTATCACAACACTATTAAATTTACTTATAACTACTCAAAAACAAATGCAACATTTCTAGACGTAAATTTGGAAAAGAAAGATAACTGTGAAATTGAAACTAGTGTCCATGAAAAAATAACAAATGCCCATCAATATATTGAATTTTCTTCATGCCATCCTTTGTCATGTAAAAAAGGTATTCCATTTAGCCAGGCTAAAACGATACAGACGAATTACATCAAATAACAACATATATGAAAAAGACTGTGACAAACTACGAGGTTATTTCCGTGCCAGAAACTATCCAGAAAATATCATTACAGACACAATTACCAGAGCATCAACTTTATCGAGGGAGGATACATTAAAATTAAAAGACAAATCAGAAGAACGTGAAAAATATTATCCCCTTTGTGTGTACATATAATCCATCTTTACCTAATATAGGTAAAATAATTAACCAATATTGGAACCTATTGAAATTTTCTCCAAATGAAAGTGTACGTAAATCATACAAATACAAACCAATTGTTGCTTATAAGAGACCGAGAAATTTACAAGACAAATTAGTTCATACTCATTTAAATGCCAAACTCATGGTTGGTTCAGTATCTAAATGCTGTCGACCTCGTTGTACTCATTGTAATAATATTGTTGAAAACTAATAATTTTTCAAGTACTACTATACCTAAAGAATTTGCTATAAAACGTGATTTTTCATGTATATCTTCAGATGTCATTTATCTTATAACTTGTAAAAAATGTAAAAAACAGTATGTTGGTCAAACTCAGCAAAAATGTAGTCAAAGAATGAATAGCCACAAATTTGATATTAAACACTTTCCTGACACTATTACCAATGTATCTGAACATTTAATTCTGAAGGGCATTCTATCAAAAGATTTTTTCATTTATGCCAATTGATAAAGTAAAGAATAATTGGCAAAGATTATTAAAAGAAACTTCATGGATGTATAAGCTAGGTACAATTATTCCTGATGGCATGAATTCCAAAATTCTTTATTAATTTTGTAGATTATAATTCTTCATTTTAATATATATATATTTTTTTTTTTTTTTTTATATATATAAAAAATTGTATTTTCTAATTTTTGCTTAATATGTCTTAAAACTAATTTCATGCCAATATGTAGTTTATGCGGGTTTTCTTATTTTACATTGCTTTTTACTGCATCTCCACCAGTGTTTTGTATCTTTTATAAAGATCCTACATATAGCATTAATACGCCAAATTATGTATTACATTTTGACGTTGTTGTCCTTGACGTCATATGACGTTGACGTCATTTCCTGTAAACAAAGTATACCTGATGAAGACTTTTGAGTCGAAACGTTGTATATTTTTCAAATAAAATAATTACATTTTTAAATTGAAACTGGAGTTGATTTCTATATTCAAACTTATATTATTACTACAACATAGAAGTCTCTAGCATCAATTGTGATCCTCCAGAATGGAAACCAAGGACATATTGACTAAAAAGATAGAAAAAATGGCTGACTTCCAGATGCGAAAATCAACTCATATGCGCTTCCTTGAGAACTGTATAGCAGAAAATGTTGTTCCAAATGGACTGAAGATAAAACTTCAAGTGCAAGTTGGTGAAAATGGTCGCCTGCAGAAAATTGTTGACAGAATTTTGTTAAAAACCTCAATGGAAATTACAAGACTTGTCTCTGAAGAACATTATCAACAATTACAAGAGTCAAAGCCAAAAATGATTGAACTTGAAAATGAACTTAGATCTAAACTAAACAACAATGGTGAAATGAATAGAATTTCGCAAGAAATATTCAACAAAACAGAATTAAAGAAGAACACTATTGTTGCAAATCAAAATAAGAAAATTAAGCAGCTGACTGACAAAAGAGACTGTTACATTATTGAAGAATCTGCACAAATTTCTACATCAAATCGCAATGATGAGAAAAGAAAAGACAAATTTCCAAGAATCAAAACAAAAAAAAAAAAAAGAGAGCAAAGAACAAATTATGAACATTCAAATAAAAATGCCAAAGAAGAGGTAAATGATAGAGACAACATTAAACCATTGGCACAAACAAATAACAAAAATGCAAAGCCAAAATCAATGCCATCAAATGTTTCAAAAAACGAGATATCCCCAGGCAGCATGAAGATGAAATACAGCGAAGCCGTGACAATGGGGAAACAACAATACAAGAAAATTCATGTACCACAAGAGAGCAACATACAACACCAGAATGGAAAAAACACATTACACCTAGAGAAAACTATTCAGGAACTGATCAAATGCCTACAGAATCTAAAAAGAACAGACGATTCATTCGAATCACAAACAAGAGAAAATGGAAGAAAAACAAGAAAATAAAGAAAGACATAGAAAGGGGTAAGAACACTGTAATAAATCTTTCTAATAAACAGCTCAATAACACTGAATACCGATTACTTGGAAAAGGTTTAAAATTCTGCCCAACACCAAAACCCCATAATAGAATTCAACTTAAACAAGATGTTTTTGAATTTACAAGAAAACTCAGATTGAATGAATATTTTGCAGCAAAAGAGGAAAATAGTGAGGGAAATGAAAACAATAGTACCAATAATTATGACATTAACAGTAAGAAGAAAAACAACTCTACTTTTATTCCCCCTTCTGGCAGAGATTCCAATCTTGATTTTTATATTGAAGCAATAACAAATGAAATTCTGTCAAACAGTAAACACAATAGTTATAAAACAAATTTATCACCAGAAGAGTTAAAAGCCTTGCAAAGCCTACAAAAAGATGAAAATATCATTATAAAAAAAGCTGATAAAAGTTCGGTTATTGTTGTTATGAACCGTACTGACTACATTAGAGAAGTTCACCGACAGCTTGAAAACGACCAATATTATAAGAAACTTGAAAATAATCCAACTGAACAATTTAAAAAAGAAATCTATGAGGAAATTTATCAAATGGATAATATAAGTTACTCTATTAAAGAATCTTTGGTTCCTGATAGTGACAATAGAGTTCCAGCTTTTTATATTTTACCTAAAATCCATAAACAATTCAATTCTGATCTACCACTCGGTTACCCTGGAAGACCAATAGTATCTGGATGCGGTTCATTAACTGAAAAGATATCATCGTATGTCGATAATATACTCAAACCACACATGGAATCATTACCCTCATATGTCAAGGATACTACAGATTTTATCAGAAAAATACAAAACATAACAAATAGTTCAACAAAATCATTCTTAGTAACAATGGATGTATCATCTTTATATAGTAATATACCGCATAATGATGGAATCAAAGCATGTCAGTATTACCTTAATCAGAGAACAGGACAACAACATTCAGTTAAAGACATTTTACATCTTATTGAAATAGTGCTTACAAAAAACAACTTCCAGTTTGGTGATGATAACTATATACAAAATTTAGGAACAGCTATGGGAACTAAAATGGCACCATCTTATGCTTCATTATTTATGGGAAAATTTGAAATGGACTTTTTAAATACATGTGAAAGAAAACCCTCAATATGGCTGCGATTTCTTGATGATATTTTTTTCATTTGGGACCATAGTGAAGAGGAGCTTATTACATTTTTTAATGAAATTAACAACTATCACAACACTATTAAATTTACTTATAACTACTCAAAAACAAATGCAACATTTCTAGACGTAAATTTGGAAAAGAAAGATAACTGTGAAATTGAAACTAGTGTCCATGAAAAAATAACAAATGCCCATCAATATATTGAATTTTCTTCATGCCATCCTTTGTCATGTAAAAAAGGTATTCCATTTAGCCAGGCTAAACGATACAGACGAATTACATCAAATAACAACATATATGAAAAAAGACTGTGACAAACTACGAGGTTATTTCCGTGCCAGAAACTATCCAGAAAATATCATTACAGACACAATTACCAGAGCATCAACTTTATCGAGGGAGGATACATTAAAATTAAAAGACAAATCAGAAGAACGTGAAAATATTATCCCCTTTGTGTGTACATATAATCCATCTTTACCTAATATAGGTAAAATAATTAACCAATATTGGAACCTATTGAAATTTTTCTCCAAATGAAAATGTACGTAAATTATACAAATACAAAATAAGAGACCGAGAAATTTACAAGACAATTTAGTTCATACTCATTTAAATGCCAAACTCATGGTTGGTTCAGTATCTAAATGCTGTCGACCTCGTTGTACTCATTGTAATAATATTGTTGAAACTAATAATTTTTCAAGTACTACTATACCTAAAGAATTTGCTATAAAACGTGATTTTTCATGTATATCTTCAGATGTCATTTATCTTATAACTTGTAAAAAATGTAAAAAACAGTATGTTGGTCAAACTCAGCAAAAATGTAGTCAAAGAATGAATAGCCACAAATTTGATATTAAACACTTTCCTGACACTATTACCAATGTATCTGAACATTTTAATTCTGAAGGGCATTCTATCAGAGATTTTTCATTTATGCCAATTGATAAAGTAAAGAATAATTGGCTAAGATTATTAAAAGAAACTTCATGGATGTATAAGCTAGGTACAAATATTCCTGATGGCATGAATTCCAAAATACTTTATTAGTTTTGTAGATTATAATTCTTCATTTTAATTTTTTTTTTTTTTTTTTTATATATATAAAAAATTGTATTTTCTAATTTTTGCTTAATATGACTTAAAACTAATTTCATGCCAATATGTAGTTTATGTGGGTTTTCTTATTTTACATTGCTTTTTACTGCATCTCCACCAGTGTTTTGTATCTTTTATAAAGATCCTACATAAAGCATTAATACGCCAAATTATGTATTACATTTTGACGTTGCTGTCCTTGACGTCATATGACGTTGACGTCATTTCCTGTAAACAAAGTATACCTGATGAAGACTTTTGAGTCGAAACGTTGTATATTTTTCAAATAGAATAATTACATTTTTAAATTGAAACTGGAGTTGATTTCTATATTCAAACTTAAGTTAAGATACAAATTGGTACGATTGTGTATATATGTTCAGAGCTACTGTAATTGTAATACTTGTATGACTACTTACTTTGTGCTCACCGCACAATGACAGTAGTGATAGTTTTAATATTTTCAATTTCAGGTCTATCAAAAACGCTTCTATCATTGACCCAGCTTTAAAAATGGCAACGAATTCCACGTCAAGTTCTTTTACAGTATTTGCACCTAATGACTCATTCATCACTGTTATGCCGTCCTATGGTCAAGATATACTCTTCAATGACACAAATCTTCTTAAAACTGTAAGTCTTTTATCTATCAACATTTTATATGTATTTAAATGTGTGAAATGTGTTTGACAATACTCTAATTTGTGCACTGTGGACAAATGTTAACATTTCTATTTTAATGCCGGTATCTGTCTTTGATCGTTTACAATTATTCAACTGATTATTTTATCATTAACTTTCAAAACAAAGGAAATATTTCAAAACAAGAGGGCCAAGATGGCCCTAGATCGCTCACCTGACCCGTCAAACTCATCCGAACAATTACCTAGACAAGCGTTCTGACCAAGTTTCATGACAGGTGTGTCAAAAATGTGACCACTAGTGTTAACAAGGATTATCCATATTTGAGCAGTGTGACCTAGTTTTTGACCCCAGGTGACCCATATTCGAGCTTGACATTCGAGCAATTACCTAGACAAGCACCCTGACCAAGTTTGATGATAATTGAGTCAAAAATGTGACACTAGAGTGTTCACAAGGTTTTTCTATTTTTAGCTCCTGTGACCTAGTTTTCCATCCGAGATAAATCATGTTCAAACTTATCCAAGCATCGACTAGACAAGCATTCTGACAAAGTTTTGATGATGATTGGGTCAAAAATGTGACCACTAGACTGTTCGCAAGGTTTTTCTATTTTTTAGCTCCTGTGACCTAGTTTTCCACCCGAGATGACCCATGTTTCGAACTCATCCAAACAATTGACTAAACAAGCATCCTGAACAAGGTTTCTTAATAATTGGATCAAAAATGTGACCACTAGAGTGTTCACAAGGTTTTTCTATTTATAGCTCCTGTGACCTAGTTTTTCATCGGAGATAAACCATGTGCAAACTCATCAATGCAATTATCTAAACAAGCATCCTGACAAAGTTTGATCATGATTAGGTAAAAAATGTGACCACTAGAGTGTTCAAAAGGTATTTCTTTTTTTAGCTCCTGTGACCTAGTTTTTCATCAGAGATGACTCATATTCAAACTCATCTGAGCAATTGACTAGACAAGCATCCACATTAAGTTTGATGATGATTGGGTAAACAATGTGACCACTAGAGTGTTCACAAGGTTTTTCTATTTATAGCTCCTGTGACCTAGTTTTTCATCAGAGATGACCCATATTCGAACTCATGTGCGCAATTATCTAAACAAGCATCCTGACAAAGTTTGATGATGATTGGGTCAGACATGTGACCACTAGAGTGTTCACAAGGTTTTTCTATTTATAGCTCCTGTGACCTAGTTTTTCATCAGAGATGACCCATGTTCGAACTCATCTAAGCAATTGACTAGACAAGCATTCTGACAAAGTTTGATGATGATTAGTTCAAAAATGTGACCACTAGAGTGTTCACAAGGTTTTTCTATTTATAGCTCCTGTGACCTAGATTTTCATCGGAGATGACCCATGTTCGAACTCATCAAAGCAATAATCTAAACAAGCATTCTGACAAAGGTTGATGATGATTGGGTCAACAATGTGACCACTAGAGTGTTCACAAGGTTTTTCTATTTTTAGCTCCTGTGACCTAGTTTTCCATCCGAAATGACCCAGTTTCGAACTCATCCGAGCAATTGACTAAACAAACACCCTGACAAAGTTTGATGATGATTGAGTCATAAGTGTGACCACTAGTGTGTTCACAAGCAATTGTGGACGTACGACGGACGACGGACATTCACCGATCCTAATAGCTCACCCTGAGCAAGCTCAGGTGAGCTAAAAACATAACATGTTGAAAACATATTTTTAGAATTACTCAAGGAAAATGAGTACATTAGTATCCGCCGTGAATGTAATACGGACTTTTAGACTGAATGTAAAACTTGTATTTATGTTAAAGAAAACGTGTATCAATCTGAAACTTATATATCTAAAACATTGTTAAGAGTTAAATATCTTTACCAATCATTTTTTGTTTCTTTGAATGTATGAACGTTCTAGTTCTATTTAAATATTTAAATATTTTATTATGAAGGTATTTTGGGCTCACGTGATCCAGAATGGTTTACTGTATATACCAAGAATTGGGGAGATACCCAACACCGCAGCAATGGCGGGAATTTTAAAGTTTGACAGAATTGGAACGGAAAGTAAGTTATTTCCCAGTTAAACTGAATCATCTTCCGTCCCTTGATGACCGAATATTTACCATATCCTTCAAATTTATTATTTGACTTAAAGTTCTGAGTTTTTACTACTGCTATCGTCTTTTTCTTCCAACAAGATCTTCAATATCCCTGTTGACTTGTCTCTTGTTTTGTTATATTTACAATCTGGTATTTTTTACATGTAAGTCGGGTCAAACTTACAATACAAAAAGTTATTAAACAATTGTATATATATTTTATAGACAAACAAAATAGTTCTAAGCTGATGTGTGCAGAAGAAATATTTGTTTTTATTTACAAAATATAGCCTTAAGTATCACTTGTTAGCATTCACTGACACTTCTTGACTTATTTTATTAAAGTTGAAAGAAACATCACTAATTCATCTACAGTTCAATATTATAAGAGAATATTTTGTAAGAGAAACTAATGCATACACCGTAAGATATAAACTTTAAAATCTTTCAATCCCCTTAGTGTTCTTAGAGTTGACAAGATTGGCATCATTTTAAACATTTACATTTCAAACTTTTCGCTATATTGGCACTTAAAATGTACCACACTGGATCTATATACGCGCAATCTGTCATCGAAATTGAATTAAAACTGTCTCGGTCGACTATTTAAGCGAAGTAGTGTTAAAGACGACTAAATAAATTATCCTCTAGAGTATTGGTGATGCCAGACGTTGCGATTACATCACTGCGTGTCTGATTTAAAATATTTAGTCATCTATAACCTGTCAATTATTGATCATTTTACCTACCGCGTTTACATATTAAGATGTATTTAGATAAAAATGTAAAAACATTAAAGAGTAAATATGTACGCTTTAACATCACACAAGCTTGATGAACGATAACTTGAATAAGACTGAGAAAACAGACTATAATTTCTGAAAATAGCTTTATTTGTAATAATTAATCTAAAACATGCATAATTCGTAGTATTTAATGTACATTTAATAGACAAACTTAAGTAGATTATCCGTTTAAAGAGCTGTTTGTTTGATTTGTTTGGTTGGTTTTACGGCGCACCAATACTGTACATGTCATATTGCGCCGAAACAGGAAAGATGATTCGGCTTACCTCAGGGGTTACAAACTTTAAAGTAACACCAGGGGTCAAAACCACCTCACCTGTTTGAGATACATAAACTCTGGTTATTCGAACCCATTTAGTCACCTCTTATGATTACGCATGGATAAAAGGTGGCTCCAATTCTAATAACTCAACCATTAAAGGCAACCCCTGAGTCACAAGATGTGAATGGTGTTGGGTTCGACTACTGAGGAGCCCCACAAAAGTTGTTAAAATGCTAATAGTAATCAACTGTTTGAAGCTTGTCCTAATGTGCCTGTCTTCTATTAGTAACCAGTGTGCATATTAATAACTAAGTATAAGATTAAGTCATATATTTATATAAATTAATGGATTTAATTACACTAACAACATGTTTTAACTTTCAGTTTATGTAACGAGTAATAAAGTTCGTGCTCGCATTATACAATCCAACATTCCAGTGAAGAATGGCGTCATTCACGTCATTGACGACCTCTTGTTTTACGTATACAGAAATATGAAACAGAAAATGGACGTTCTTGAAAATGTCAAGTAATTAGAACACTTTTCTAAACTTAACTTAGCAAATATCTTGTAGTGCACTTGTCCTTAAGTAAACTTTTAAAGTCGAAGTGAATATTATACTTAAAAGACCAAAAGCAATTTTGATAGTTGATATAAGTAACTAATTATAAAATTATTTGTATTTTATAAACGGATAGTTATAGGTAAGAAATCCTCTGCATTTTTATATTTTGAATTGGACAACAAATTTTATACAAACACGTAGAAATACTTGGCGGAAGTTTGACAAATATTGATACCATAGAACAATTTATAAACAATCTGGGCTACCTCTGTTTTTTATCAAAATTTACATAAAAATAATTTCCACTAAGTTTGTGTTTCCCCTTTGTATTTTTCCTTTCAGTTTTGTTAAAGCAAACTTATACAATGTAGAAAATGAGATCAGGGAAAGGTTTATAAACGCCAGCAAAAATATGACATTCTTTCTACCTACTGACGACGCTTTAGCCAAACTTCCAGAGGACAGGCAGTCCCAACTTGATACAAATATTACAAAATTATCAAAAGTAAGTACATGTAGCATGCTTGTGTCATTAGATAAATATAAAAGTATGTATATATCAATTAATTTATGCTATGAGTATTATCATGTTATCTTCTTAAACGTGTTCAAATGAAAATAAAATTTTATGTTTTATGTAGCGACTTAGTTTAAGTTTGCGAAAATAACTGTCCTATTTCAACATTTTCCTGACCATGAAGAAATGCGTTCAAATAAATAATATTAATAATAATGATAAGCTCTTATTCTTTGCCTTTACATTGAAAAAATGTACAATATGCGTTTTCCTTGTTTCTTTTCCCCAATACATGTTTATTTAGGTATAGATTTTCTAGACTAGTATTCTTTAACCATTGAGCATTAAACAAATTTCTAATGGTTTCATTTCGTAACACATAGATGTTATTGTTGAATGAGAGTTGAATATAATCCAATTACTCGTATGTACCGAGATATATAATTACTTTTACAGTACGTTAGAGTCCAATCTAGAAGATGTTTTAGTATCATAAGCTACAGATAAACTATAATTACCTAGCATAAAATGCCCGCCAATTATCTAATAGATCAATGCCATAATAATGAAAATGATTTACAGAACTAATGTTTATTGGACACATGCCCATTGCATGATTACGTTACTATAATTTGTTGATAGTTAATTTTACTGGCACAAATGTTATGAATAATACATTAAATGCAATGAATAATAAATTGAAGCAGAATGAATGTTTGTCTTTGTATGTCGTTTAGCATGCGCCATGAATATCGGCAATAAGATAATTGCAATTTTATTTCTTTACCATATAAATATTGCATTCTGGAGCGTTATTGTATTATTTACTGTATTTCTTCCTTATAGTTTTTCCGGGACCACCTGGTGGTATACACCCAGAGAGACCTTGACACATTCCAGGACGGAGAGACGTTCACCACAGCTGACGGAGAGTTACTGACAATGAGAAAAGTTCATAATAGTGAGAATAAAAGTGCATTATAACTTTATTTGTTACATATCGATGGCTCAGCGCAATACTGGTCTAAGTGACATTTTTACCAAAAATCACTTTTTTACATATTTTGATAATGTAAGGTCAAATACACATTCTGTGAAAATTTTAGGGTAATTTATGCTTTTTTGCCTTTTTTATTTACATTGAAAATAAAAGTCTATCTCAGGTAGTTCAATTTTGTCAGTGCAATATATGTCTAACTTGAGTTGGTCTCTTATTTCGATGTCTAATATATCACTTTTCCTCAAAAATGCTTGAGTTAGACCTTAAATGTTTCATTTCCAGGTACAGAATAATATGCATATCCCATTGAAATGTGTTATAAAGAATGTGAGAATTCATGAAAACACTAGAAATTATTTGCCTCTATCAGTGCTTTGTTTTAATCGCGAAATATTAGCCAATTGCATATAACTGTAAACGAAAAAAATTAATAATAAGTTAGTGTCACATTTATTTTGTCTTTGAAGTCATTACATCATACTCATACTGTATTATTTGATAACATGAAGTGCAGTTGAAACTATCATTTTTGTACAATTTAGTAAAAGACAGTGTATGTTTCTCATGCACACATTTAAAATGGAAAATAACACGTGTTACACTAGTGGATTCATAACCTCTGATCCCCTCTAAAAATTCTTTTTTTTTTAGTTTGACCTTAGATTTCCTAATTCTTAATTTTACACTTTTTCATATTTATATAATGTGTTCTGCTTAAGATGGTGTAAGGGGGTAGTTACTGTACATTGTTTCACTGCCAAATCAAACTAAGCCTGTAACACAATGAACGATTTCAGGGTTTTTTTTAGGGCGTTCTTGGGTTTTTATTTCTAAATTGATTATCTACTACTGTATCACTCTCTTTGATCAAATAAGTTATATACAAACTTTACACTATCAACTCAAACAATAAAATAACAACATAGTGTCAACATGTGCAAATCACACTCTTCACAATACAGTCAAATATCGTTATCTCGACATCGCTTTTCGCGATATTTCGTTATCTCAATGAAATTTTGAAAGTCCCGATTTAATTCCTTCTTTATCTATATTGGAAATATTTGTTTATCTCGATATTTTTATTTCAATATTTTCAGTATCTCGATGTAAAATTTCAGCCCCAACAGTTATCTTTCACACTATTATCCTTTGTTTAACAAATAGTTTTCGTTCATCTGTTCCCTTCAGACCTGTGAAAAACACAAACTGGACGATAATTGCTCAATAGCGCGTGTCATAATGATGAGTTTAGCTGTTTTTATAAAAGTAATCTATTTAGCGTGTTGATTGACTTGTGTCCAAAATGAGTGAATTTTAAGTTCTTTGTAAATATTCGAAAACTGTATCAATTCATTATTTAAATGCAAATGAAATAGTGAAAGTATAGAAACGCTATCGTTGCAATATTGTTTCACAACATCACCACAAAAATCAATCAGCAGTCGAACAATCTTGAGAAAGATCCGATAAATAACCAGGAAGGATATCCGGATAAACCACCCTGAAACAATGTTTTCACTATATTGGTGTATTACTGAGTAAACCTCACTATGTGTTTTTATCACAGACACCCGTATTTCCGCTGGTAAATATCCGCTAATGTTACTTTGTTAAATATTGATTAGGCCTATGAAAACAAGACATGGGGATATCATAGTTTATTTGACATAAGGTATGCACATGTCTTTAGTAAAAATCAATCTCTGCCTTATACAATCCCTAATATGTTTATCTCGACATTTCGTTATCTCAATACTTTTTGGACGGTCCCGATGACTTCGAGATAACAAGAGTTAACTGTACTTATATTATTGACACAATATCTTTCTGTCTGATGTGATATGTGCAGAAAAAATCAAAATATGCACACTTATATATTATAATGACCTTTTCAGTTCTTGTATTCTGATATTTTTTTTACATCACACAGCTCCATTGAATTTTCGAGAGTGCAATTGTCAAAAACTCTTTGACTTATGTGGCAGAAACAGCTATAAGTTGATAAAAATGTTTCATTTTAGATCTAAAAGCCATTAATTTTACCTATCAAATTTAATAATGAAATTAAAAATGTAATGGCTATCAACTGCTTTTGGTATAGTATCAGTGTCAATGAGAAAATTCAAACATTTATCCATTCTAATTGTTTAGTGCTAATCTAAGGTGTGCACATGGTGCTTCAGGTGTGTGCCTTGTCATATCTGAATGAGTAAGTGGTTGCAAGTGTTTTAAGCACATCTAACTTTAAAAAAATGATTCTGAATTATATCATGTGCTAACAATACTTTGTTCTATGAATCCCTGATAGTGGGTTGTACTGCCCTTCTTTTTTCTCTAAAATATGTTTGACAACTTCTTCTTATTGGTCAAAATTTAGAGGTAAAATGACTTTGATATATAAAATGAAACACTTTTCTTAAGATATGCACAGTTTTCAGCAAAACATGTCGTACGATTTGCACAATACACTTTCAAAATATATTCTAAACAGTTGAGAAAGTAAATACAAAAAGTTGTAATAAAAGCATGGTCGAACAGCGGTTTTCATTTTTGAAAATATTTGATATTTATAAATGATTATATCATCAGAAAAGACAACCGCATACATTAAATTCATTAAGATTTAACAATAACTGTAATATAGGAATTACAGCATTTAAGCACCAATGGTGGTAATGGTGTGCATTGAGAAAATAAAATGTGTCTTCTTTGTACAAATGTGAGTTATACAAAATGTACTTTCCCTGTTATCAAACTTTGATGATATCATGATATATACCTGGATCATCAGTCATCATTGTTCATGACTACTGTTCATAACACTATTATGAATCAAAACTGTTTGCATTTTGTTTAGAATTCAAATTTATTGCACAGATAATCTGCAAAAAATCTTAAGTAAATCTGAATCTCAAACAAATTGAAAAAGAGAAAGAAGTGTACTTTCATCTTAAGTCAGCCCGCATGATATATTAATAGAAAAATATTAAAGGGTTTAGTCTTTGTAAAGTTCTTCTACAGACTTGCAGAATATTTTAGACAATGTTTAAATTAATAAAACAATTTTGTTCAAAATTTAAAATTTCATTTATATCAAAATATTTAAGGTACAACAGGTCTAACTCAAATATTTGTACCATTTTTACCAAATTGCAAGAGGGAATTTGAGTCTAACTCAAGTTAGTCTTGTATTGCGCTCAGAATTTCAGCGCAATAAAGGTCTAACTCTCAAATACACAATTTGTAACATTTTAATAAAAAAATATATAAATGGCATTATTTCTTATTATAATTAATGATAACATAGCAAAATAAAGTTTTCTAATATAAGTATTTTTGAATAAAATCAGTTTTTTGTCTCTCCTGAACATTTTCAAAAATAGCAGTTAGACCAGTATTGCGCTGAGCCATCGATATATCCTTATCTAATCTCACTAAATTTGACAACTTAGGTCAAAGGTCAAGGTCACTATTACCTTAAAACTGAAAACAGTTTCCGGAGCATAACATTAGTTCAATTTGGCCCAAAGTGTTCAAACTTCATAGGATGATTGTTTATATTGGGTAGAAAACCCCTATTGATTTTGGGGTCACAAGGTCAAAGGTCAAGGTCACTATTACCTTAAAACCTCAAACAGTTTCCAGAACATAACTTAAGTTCCATTTGGCCCACAGTGTTCAAACTTCATTGGATGATTGTCTATATTGGGTAGAAGACCCCTATTGATTTTGGGGTCACAAGGTCAAAGGTCAAGGTCATTATTACTTTAAAACTGAAAACAGTTTCCATACCCTAACTTAAATTCCATTTGGCCCACAGTGTTCAAACTTCATGGGATGATTGTCTATATTGGGTAGAACACCCTTATTGATTTTGGGGTCACAAGGTCAAAGTTCAAGGTCACTATTACCTTAAACTGAAAACAGTTTCCGGAGCATAACTTAAGTTCCATTTGGCCCACAATATTTACACTTCATAAGAGGATTGCTATTTGAATGAAGTATTACTTCATTTAATTCCCATGTCTTACAAATGCTTCATCCTTACTAAAAAAAACACTTTCGGGCATATAATGCTCCGCCTAGCGGTGCTTTTTAAATATGGTTCATGGAATGATTTTCAACTTTGTAGCATTCATGTCACGTCACTTAACTGGTATCTTTTCTTTGTAAAACATTTGAAACATTGGAGCCTACGATAAATTTTGTACAAACGTTTTACTTTTAATCATTGTCATTTAATATTTTAATGAGAATAATTTGCTATAATTGAATATGTATTCTCTACTTTTTGTCTAATTTCAGATGTATATGTAGAAGGTGGTGGTGTGAGGGCGAAGCTAACCATTCCAAATCTAGGTTGTACAAATGGTGTAATACATCTTGTAAACAGTGTCCTGTTTCAACGAGACTTTACAATATGGGAAGCTATACTAGGCAACTCACAATTAAGGTAAAGTTTTTTTCACATTTCTTAACGCTTGTTATACTCATAACAAAAGGAATGCATTGGTGTGTTTGTTTCCCAGAAGGTTATACTATCTATTGGTTAATTATAAGAGATGTAAGATAATTACTGGCACGTCATTGTCGTTTTATAAATTATATGATACTGTGTAGTAACAGTGCAGATTAAACTTGTTATATGAGAAAATAGTAATGTCAGGTATTTAAAAGCATTTGTAAGCCTAAAAAAGCTATCATTTTCATTTTCTTTTATTTTGGTGACCTGTTTAATAAGACGGTTTTCTAATTGGTCACTAATTGGTACTACTGTTTTACTAGTTTTGCTACTTCTATAGCAAGTTATTTCACATCAGGCGCTATTCTCCTTAAGTGACAATTATCTCATATCCTCTAACTCCATTGTTACAACACATATAACCGGGTTTGCATTTTTGTACGGGAATAAAAAAATATTTTACAGACTTAATGTACCTTTTTGTAAATATTTAGATATATTCTCATTTTGTTGAAAGAATATCACGATAAATTTAACTCAAATTAGTGTACAAGTTTTTTTATCTTTCAGTCAAATGCGTGATATTGTAAACAGAAATGCGGATCTTTTGCGCACGTTACATTCTACGTCAAATGGACCAATGACAGCGTTCCTAATTAGTGACGCGGCTGTGAGTCATCTTAATCATGACGCTCAGATGTATCTGAAGACAAACACAGCACTTTTGTTACAGGTAATGATATGGAGGGTGATTTATGCCAAAATTACATCTTGCTTTCTTACGTTACATCGTGCTTTCTTACTTGTACATCGTGCTTTCTAACTTGTACATTATGCATGCTGACATATACATCTTGCATTCTGACTTTTACATATTGCTTTCTTACATGCACATTATGCTTTCTGCTGTGTGCGACTTGCTTAATTTTATGCTGATGTCATTTTTAACGATCAATTATTATTTATTTGTTGATCTGGTATATTAATTCAATAAATTAACCTGCAACTGTTTGTATTTGGGTCTATTTACTCAGCTTGAATCTCGAATGTCATAAGGTAGAATGCGCAAAGCCGAAAGCCGAATGCAGCAAGCATAATACAACGCGACATCTGGTGTAATAATATGTGACACCCAAATTATGCTAACAGGTGGCGCTACAGTTATATTCTCGGTAAAGTCCGTATTGCGGTTCGGATTCAGTTCACCAAGTTACGTCCCTTTGTTTTAAAATTTCCATTTGCACTCTTGTAGAAATTATACAAAAGGATTTAACCAATTTTTATATTTATTAATGAAACTCTGTAGGTCAAATTATATTTCCAGCTGACAATGACAAGTTGCATATTTCCAAATCAATGGTTTTAGAATTTATTTTTTTTCATCAACAAAATAATTATAAAATAGAACAGTTGTTCAACATTGTTCAAAGTGCTTGGGCCATAAAAAAACTTCTTATTAAAATATTTCATCCTCTTGAAAAGTTCTTAAATTTTGACATGGCTTATTTCCAATACCTGTGACCATGCACAACATTTTTAATGTGTTTTTATTAATTAGGACATTTTCTTGCCTATTTTCAAACACATTTTGTACACATGTTAGATTTTTTAAATTCAACTTGTCAAAAAAATGTCTTTTTTTCACTAAGTTGAAATTATTCACTGAGATGCTTTATGAATACGGCCCAGGTTCTTGTTCACAGTTTTCAAGAGGATGAAATTTTTAAATAAGAAGTTTTTTTTATGGCCCAAGCACTTTGAACAATGTTAAACAACTGAGTGTTCTATTTTATAATTATTTTGTTGATGAAAAAAAAAATTCTAAAACCATTGATTTGGAAATGTGCAACTTGTCATTGTCAGCTGGAAATATAATTTGACCTACAGAGTTTCATTAATAAATATAAAAATTGGTTAAATCGTTTTGTATATTTTCTCCATGAGTGCAAATGGAAATTTTAAAACAAAGGGACGTAACTTGGTAAACTGAATCCGAACCGCAATACGGACTTTACCGAGAATATAACTGTAGCGCCACCTGTTAGCATAATTTGGGTGTCACATATTATTACACCAGATGTCGCGTTGTATTATGCTTGCTGCATTCGGCTTTCGGCTATGCACATTCTACCTTATGACATTCGTCATTCAAGCTGAGTAAATATACCTAAATACAAACAGTTGCAGGTTAATTTATTAAATTAATATACCAGATCAACTAATGAATAATAATTGATCGTTAAATTACGACATCAAAATAATATTAAGCAAGACGCACACAGCAGAAAGCATAATGTGCATGTAAGAAAGCAATATGTAAAAGTCAGAATGCAAGATGTATATGTCAGAATGCATAATGTACAAGTTAGAAGGCACGATGTACAAGTAAGAAAGCACGATGTAACGTAAGAAAGCAAGATGTAATTTTGGCATAAATCACCCTCCCTATAATGAGAATAGTTTATACCTGTTGTGTTGCAACTAGTATCATTTCCCTGCAAAATATATTTGATTTCCATTCGATTTTGTGCTTTGAATATCAAGTAAAGTGGTTTGAAAATATATATTTTCCGCTGAGGCTTTTCCGGTCGTTATAGAATGATGTAAAACAACACGATAGAAATAAATCAAACATCTTAAAGAAAATAGGAACAATTTTCATACATAAATGATAACGAAAGTCTATAAAAATCATCCCAACAGTTTATATTACATTTAGTTATATCAAATACTTCTCCATGAAACCCGAGATTTTATTGAATTAAAACGATGTTGTCTCGTCTGCAATACATGTACGTTTATGACACAGAAATATGTGTATATTTTCAGGCTATTCGCGGTTCAATAGCCAACGGGGTAATCTTAAGTTCAACTCAAATATCTGACGAGCAAGATGTACCGACGCTGTCAGGTCGAACTATCACTTTATACAACACAAATCAAGGTAAGTAATTCAGAAAGTTGTATTTTTACCGAACAGTTCTTTCAGCCACTGCATGCGTCTGCATATGAGCCGCGTCACGACAAAACCAACATAATGGGTTTGCGAACAGCATGGATCCAGACCAGTCTGCGCATTCGCGCAGTCTGATCAAGATCCATGCTGTTCGCTTACCAACCCTATTACAAGTATAGAAACTAATAGCGAACAACATGTATCCTGATCAGACTGCGCGGATGCGCAGGCTGGTGTGGATCCATGCTGGTCGCAAACCCATTATGTTGGTTGTGTCATGACGCGGTTCATATATATTTTATTAAAATGCATGTGCCACATGACTCCCTAGCGTATATGCTGAACAATCCCCGTCAATGATGAAGTTTTATCTATTTCATGTCTGTCACCTACTTCAAAGATTTTACATAATGTATAAAATAGTCTGCAGTAACTTCCGTTCTAGACATCTGCCTGCTGAGAAGAGATCATGGTTTATAATAAATGTATACTTTATTTATTCCCCAGTCTATAGGAAGTTTCTACTTTATCATATACTGCTTTGGAAGAATGCCAACAAATATGAATATCTTTTGACATTGATTTAATCTTAAGTTGTTTTTTTTTCTTTCTTTTTTTGCAATTTACCAATTAACGCAAGCAACGTTCAAACTAACGTTTACTCGTACGTATGTAATTGGGACTTTGAACGTTATCGAATGATGAAGAAAAACAGAAACTGGCGTTAAGAATGAAAGCAAAAACACCTTTAAGGTAGTTCATGTTTCTGATTCATAATATATCTACATAAAGTATAAATTGTTTAAAAGTGATTCATTTATTTCAGGATTGTACGTTATTGGGAGTAAAATTCGAGCCAACGTTGTGATAGAGGATATTTGGTGTTCTAATGGGATACTTCATATAGTTGATAACATTGTTCATCTGCCTACCAGAAATATCATTGATGAAATGAGCGTCCATCCTACACTAAGGTATATTAGTTAAATCATTTTGTCAGTAACGATATTTTGTCAGTAACGTTATTTTTTTAGTTAAGTTATTTCGTATATAACGTTATTTTGTCAGTTATGTCATTTGTCAGTTTTGTTATTTTACATTAAGTATCAGTTATGATATTTTGGCAATCATGTTTTTTTAGCTAGTTACATTTTGTATTTTGTTAGTATTTTTAATTTATCAATTACATTATTTGGTCAGTTTCGTCATTTTACAGTTATATTATTATGTCATTTTTTTATTTTCCTTGATATTTCATTTTGTCAATTCAGTTACTTTACCAGGAATATTTCGTCAGTTACGTTATTTTGTACGTTACGTTATTTAGTAACGTTCTTTTGTCAGTGACGTTATTTTGTCATTAATTACAGTTTCATAATTATCTTAGTTACGTGTTCTTTTCAATTACAATAAGTGTTTAATTTATATCGCAAATATTATAAAATAAGTATAACGACTATCCGTTTGATTAATTTTGATTTAGAAAATAACCACCACATACAGGAATCTGAATATGTAATGTTTGCGGCAGATTGTTTTAAACTTTAAAAATAAACACCTCTGTTCATTTTAATATTTATTATTTTAACACACATGCTGGTGAATATTGTTAAGATGTTGTGATGATTTAATTCTCGTTAAAATATCTATTTTCGTAGCTTGCCTTTTGTCTCTTTTTCAGTGTTGTTTCTGGACTTATGGGCGCTTTCCCAAAATTACAAAGTGAATTGAAAGATGTATCTACGCATTATACTATGTTTGTCCCAAGTGACGACGCATTTACATATATGCCCACGCATAGAGCGAAAATACTGAGCGAAACTCAAGGCCTTTTGCAATCGGTTTGTACTATTACTAGTCAATAAAGCAAGCGGTTGTTATTATTACAGCCATTTTCTCGCAGATTGGTTCATATTTTCAGTTTGATTCTTAGCATAGTTGTATATATTTATAGTACATTTAAGTGTAAACATGAGTAAATATAATATACATTTATCATATATCAGTGTCACTTTTGCGACTCCGTACGTAAAAAAAACACTTTATACGTTATTCAAATCATAATCGCGTTAATGAAAGAGTTTTTTTTCACCTATAAACAGTCTTTCATGGATGTAAGATAAAAAGAATATTATATTCGTGTAACTTCATTACTAAATTTTTTGAACTCGTTGAGTCTCGCGTAATATAATTTAGTTCTTGAAATTATTTTTGCCCAATAAGATTGCACATAAGTTCGTAACACATTTACTTTGGTAATTCGGCTATTAATCATTCTAGTTAATCGGCTGTATAAAACAAAATAATTTAAGACAATAAATTTGTTGCTGCACCGTTCTTGACTAATTTAGTGTTGTAAATGCTGTCTAATAAACACTAACCTTTACTTAATTTTACTCGTTTAATAAATTCAGTATTAAATGTTAACGCATTCAATATCCTCTTTGTATGAAATAAAGTTCCAGAATTTCAAAATGCGCAAAGACTTTTAAAGAATTCTGTCTATACTTTTGACATTGTTAAAAGGTTTAATGTTTTAAAATACATATCTTCTGTATAAATAATACATTAAATACGTTTTGTGAACACGGAAATGCCAACATTAGCAATGGATAAATGCATATTTTATATTTTATTTATACATTAAGCATTAGCTGATATCCTGATTATTTAATTATGCAATATATTATTTGTTTCCCTTATGTCAAATATAAGCCAAAAACAAAACTTTAGACTT